CACCGGAAGGCCGGAAGGCGCGGCGGCCGCGCGGATCGCTTCTGCTGCTCCGCCCCGGCCGGCCCCGCGCGGCTCGCGCGCCAAAACTTTGACGAATATTCGCCAAGTTTTCGGCCACGACCGGCAGATTTATGAGTAAAATATTGATGAATAATGGAGGCGAACATGCCGAAGGCTGCGGTAGATGGTGCCGCCACTGGTGGTGGTGGTTTGGGGGAGGGGGGGGAGGGGGGAATCTGCAAGCTTTTCCACTGCAGGGCATGACGCTGCACAGTGTGTCTTACATTCTGTTTGCTCCACCTGCGTTGGCGCCACTGCTCCGCTGCACAGTGGGCCAGAAGACCGGTGCAGGCGGCCAAAACTCTAGACGCGGTTTGAGCGTCAGTCGCTAAATGAGACTCGAACCGAACGTGTGACCCCTCCAATGGATTCCTCGTTCGGAGAGCAATCCATTGATCGGGTCAGTCGCTCAGTTCGAGTCCCATTTAGCGACTCTGGAGCTCAAAGCGCGGCTAGAATTTTGGCCGCCTCCGCCGGTCTTCTGGCCCACTGTGCGCTGCTCCCCTCACTGCCATCCCTGACCTCGGAACCCTTTCCCCTCCCCTATTGACCCCCGCCTCCCCTCCCCGTGTCTGTCTAAGCCTTCCGTGTCGAGGAAAAAGCTATTTAGGGTCGGAATGACATTTCGCAACCCTGTTACGGTGCGGGCCTCTCCCTACTTCTTTTTATTTTTCTTGTTTTTGTTTCTAAGCCATCGCCTCCGAGACAACATGAGGCAACAATGTTATCTTTTGCAGCTTCCTAACTTTCCGCTGCCCCCTCCGCCTTTCGGCGCATCTCCGCGGGGGAGTCCGGCCGCACAGTGGGCCAGAAGTCCGGGGAGGCGGCCAAAACTCTAGACGCGTGCAGAGCTCCAGTGTCTCTGAACCGAACGTGTGACCCCATCAATGAATTGCTCTCCGAACGAGGAATCCATTGGTGGGGTCACACGTTCGGTCCGAGGCCTATTCAACGACTCTGGAGCTAAAAACGCGTCTAGAGTTTTGGCCGCCTGCACCGGTCTTCTGGCCCACTGTGGGCCGCCCCGCCGAACTGGAGGGAAGGAAAGAACAATCATACTCGGAGTAGAGTGTCGCGGTGCGCCTGTCTCGCTACGTGCCGTGCGAGGCGGCCGCGCTTTTCCGAAATAACTGTCCGAATGGGATGCAGTTCGTTACAGCCGGGATGGACCAGTGGTTAAGGTTGTTTTCACTGCCTGGGGAGCGCCAACGGGAACGTTGGAGCGAGAGAGAGAGAGAGAGAGAGAGAGAGAGAGAGAGAGAGGAGAGTGAGAGAGAGAGAGGGAGAGGGGCGGGGGGGGGGGGGGCGCTGTGTTCTGTCGACAAAAAAAAGAAGGAAAATAGGTTCTCGACTTTCCAGTTCCGTATGTAATCAGCATAATACTATGGTGTTTTCATTTTTTCCAGGAACAACAGTGCGCCAGGGCCCGGCCAGGGGCGCAGTGAGCAAACGGCCCCGCCAAAGGAGACCAAAGTCCAGCCACGTGGAGCGGAGCAGACAGGCGCGCAGAGTCCAACAGAGACGCAGTTCCTGGAATCTTCTAAAAGAAGGAAGGAAAGGAAGGCCCAAGGAGTACCCACCCGTTGAGGGAGAACGATTAGCCACCTTAGATTAGATACAGTGGCTGCCTAAAGTCAGGCCAAACCACGATTTCTACACATTTGTTACATTTTTAATTTTCGAAACGTCCGATAAGATGCTGTGAAATCTTTGGACAGCGCGTCCGTGCAGTGCAGTAGTCGTTCGTCCAATCAGCGGGCCGCGTTAGTTTTGGCGCGTTCCCGCCGAGAGGCGCGCGTTTCGATAAACCCGCAGAGAACGGCGCCTTACATTTTCATTCCGGGCGATGCAGCTGCTCGCCCGCTCGCCCATTTGCAAGGATGAAAAACATTCTGGGCGAAATTATTTTGGGCCCCAAAAAATGGGACGGCCTGCAGACCGCTGATTATGGCCGTGGCCGTTGGTCCCGGCACGCCGTGCACGGCTCCAGCCCCCCCCCCCCTTCCCTTTACCGAGACCGATGACCAGGCAAGGCGGACAATGAATAGGCCGGAAAATGAAGTGAAAGCAGGAAAGGGCTTGGCTGGTCTTCCTCACTGGCTCACTACTGGCTTCTCACGGTGGGCCAGAAGACCGGTGGAGGCGGCCAAAACTCGTGAGGCGTTTTGAGCTCCAGAGTCGCGAAATGAGACTCGAACCGAACTTGTGACCCCACCAATGGATTCCTCGTTCGGAGAGCAATCCATTGGTGGGGGTCACACGTTCGGTTCGAGTCTCATGCGACTCTAGAGCTCAAAACGCGTCTAGAGTTTTGGCCGCCTCCACCGGTCTTCCGACCCACTGCGCTCCGTCACGCTCGTTCGCGGCGTGTGTACCCGCCAAGTGTCGCCCGGGCACTTACAGCCCGCAGGCGTGCCGTGACGCGTTAAGTATGCATAACTTAGGTCGCGACTAAATGCGTGTGGCAGGGAAATTTTTCATCCTGGGGCCTGTGCGGCTGGCGTGGTTGGCAGGGGTCAGGAGAGACGGCCAATGCAAGGCACAGCAATGGGACAGGCGGCGGCAAAAGGCACGTGATTTGAAACCCGTTCCACTTGTGAAGGTGACGCACCGCGATTTTATCCATGAATGAAAACGTTCACGCGTCTAAGCTGCTGCCCTTCGAGGTCTGTTGTCCGTTCTGACGACTGAAAATATGTTCCAATGTTTTTAAAGAAGGTGAGTTTTTTTTAAAAAGGTTGTTTTTTTGGAAGGGGGACAGTGCATCGCATTTTTTTCAAATTTTTTTTCCGCGCAGTAATTGAGAGATGGTTGATAAGGAGAGTAACGCAATGCGGCCCATCGGGGCGGGGCGGGGCGGGGCGGGGCGGGGCGGGGCGTCGGTGCACGTGATGGCGCTCGGAATCGAAATCTTCATACCGTGCGTGCCGCGTGGCCGCGTGGGGCGCACTACTCCAATCTACCTTCCATCTCGCTCCCCTCGTCCAGGCTTCGGCCGGCCAGGCCCCCCCCCCCCTCACCTAGGTGCGAACAGAAATTCGAGCCGGTCACCGTACGCAACCCGAGTCGCTCGCACTCACCTGCTTTCCTCTTTTTTCCACCTCTCTCTCTCTCTCTCTCTCTCTCTCTCTCTCTCTCTCTCCTCTCTCTCTCTCTCTCTCTCTCTCTCTCTCTCCCTCCCCGTGCCGTAAAGGTTTACTGGAGCACGTCGAAAGGAGACGGCGCGGCCAAGTGTCCCGCCTGATTAGAGTTCGGAGGGCATAACCGTTAATTCGCTGCGTTACGAAGCGGAGATGCGGCGGCGCGGCCCGAAAGCCCGAAAGGCGGACGCATTTGTACATAGTCGGTGCCGTCTAGCCGGTGGGCACTCCGGCAGAACGGCCGTGGAAGGGTCGCCGCGCCGGAAGGCATTTGTACAAAGTCGCTCCGGTGTAGCCGGTAGGCACTCCGACGGAACGGCCGCGGCGCTGGAGTGGCGGCCGCAAGAGCGAACGCAGCGAACGCACGTAGCGCTGGAGGCAACGGCAACGCGGCAGGGGAGGGCGACACGGGAGTGCGGCAGCCACCGAACGCCGGTCACCAAATCAAAAAGACGATATTACACTTTTCAATGAGAGGCCGGTCAAAAAAAGGAGATAATTTTACCCCTTTTTCGGCGTGAGACTGGCCACGGCTTCAAAAAGATAGGTTGAAATTGGGATTGAAATCTCGCTGGCGGGGCGGGAACGGCGGGGGCCATTTGCGAAGGCGGGAAGGCGATTCAAACAGTTTCCTTTTCCAGCCGGGCCGTGTCGAGCCATGGCGGAGCCGAGCCAGGCCGCGCCGGCACGCCACTGCCAATTAGAAAACAGAGTCGTGATCGCCTTGACGTTTCCTGATTTCCTTGATTTCTTTTCGAATCCTTGATTTTCTGTTTTCGGAGTTCTTCCTGAGGAGGTTGGCCAGTTCCCCGACACTCTTGCCTCCCGAGGGTCGCGGTTTTGCGTGCGGTGTTGGCTCTCGATTAAACTGTAAGCAGCGGTAAGTTGGTTCGCAGCCCCGCCAGCAATAATGCAACGTCTGCTCATTGGCCCAGCGAGGGTCTTGTGCAGCCAGTGCAGCCCGGGCTGCCTCGCGGCGTGTGTCGCACAGTGGGCCAGAAGACCGGCGGAGGCGGACAAAACGCCAGACGCGTTTTGAGCTCCAGAGTCGCTAAATGGAACTCGAATCGAGCGTGTGACCCCACCAACGGATTCCTCGTTGGGAGAGCAATCCATTGGCGGGGTCATACGCGCGGTTCGAGTCTCATTTAGCGACTCTGGAGCTCAAAACGCGTCTAGAGTTTTGTCCGCCTCCGCCGGTGTTCTGGCCCACTGTGCGTCGGCTACATAATTACTGGGCACTGTTTTTGGGCGTCCCGTCCGGGCCGGGGCGTCCGCTGGCCGGGCGTCCCGGGGCATCCCGCGGCCCCGGCTGGGTCCGCTCTGTTGACTTGTGCAAAACAAGGTTGAAAGCTAATTGAATATAAGGGAACTGCTTCCTGAGTGTGGCTGCGCACTCAACACGCATTAGACGGACTTGCTGCCGGCCTTGGGCCCTGGGCGTAGGCCGGCGTAGGCCCCAGCAACTACCTGGCTGGCTTGGCGTGGCTCGGCGTGGCTCGGCGTGGCTTGCGCATGCCGGGGTAGGCAAGCAGGCAGGCAGGCTTCACGGCAATTCGCTCTAAGCGCTTCACAGAGCTGCGCAGCGCCACGCCGGGACGGGGAACGAGGGGGACCAGGACGCCCCCGGCGCCTGCGAGGATAGGCTGCGCCAGGCCGCGCGCCACGGAAGTCCACCGGCTTGCCTATGCGCGCTCTCGCGGGCGCTCGCCGGCGCCACTGCAACGCACCCGCTCCTCTCGTTCGCCTGTCCAGTGTCAATTTAATTCTGTACCATGGGCATTGAAAAAAATTCCGTAGAAAATCTAGTTGCTGGACAAAGACAAAGTTTCCTGGGAGAAAATATTTCTGTCCACAACTCCCGCGGTTGATTTCACCGCGGAAAACGGATCCTCACGTTTCTGCCTTGCCATATGGAGCGTGGTTCGCCACCTTGCAGACAAGTCGGGTGTCAATATTTCCATTCCTCGTCATCGTTTCTCCACTCCTCCCTCGCATCTTCCGTCTCGCTCGCCTGCACCGCGCGTGCGTTGTTCCGCGTGCGTTTCGCGTGCTCGCGTGCTTTTTCGCTGGCACGCCGCCAACACGTTCGGCCGTGTCCGTGAGTGGTCGGGGCGTCGCTGGGCGCCGCTCGGCTCGGCTCGGCTCGGCGCTCCGAGGGCCGCGGGGCCGAAGGCGAGGCGCCCCCACCAACCCCCACCAGCCCCCACCCCGTCGGCCGGCCCGGGGCGCGCCGCTACGCCGTCGCCACGCCGCCCCGCGCTCCGCCCCGCGCCCGCTGGGGCCTGGGGCCTGGGGTCCCCGCCCTCGGCTCCGGCGCGGCGCTGTCGCTCAGTCCCTCCGCGGTCCTCGCCGGGGACGTTCCGTGCCGCCGCCGTCTCCGCACCCCGCGAGTCTCGCGCCGCGCCGTCCGCGACGTCCTGCAGCACGCCGACGAGGCCCTCCGAGTGGCGCACCGTATTCGGCGACCTCCCCGTGGCGCGCGCTGCGATGCACCGCGGCCGACGGCCACGTTGAGCGCGTCCCGCGACGTCATGGCCTCCGCGACAGCCTTCGCGACGGCCTCCGCGGCCACGCCCGCGAGTTGAGCGCCGCCAGGCCGGCCTGGCCATGTGGCCGCCACGCGCGTTGCTCCCCCTGCTGGCCCTGCTGGCCCTGCTGGCCGTAGTCCACCCCGCCCCGGACCAGCAGCCCGTGTACCACAACCAGTTCGCCGTGCACGTCCCGGCGGGCCGCGCCGCCGCCAGTGGCGTGGCCGCTCGTTTAGGATATGTCAACAAGGGACAGGTGAGGAAAAAAACGGAGAAAACCCCCAGCGACGCTTCCCCCTTTTTTTCGGTGGTCGGCGCCGCGCGCTCCGGAGAGAAAAATTCCTGAGCCGCACGGGAAAGATACGCGTACACCGGAAAAACCTTACGACGTACTGTCGAGCACATGGGAGTAAAAATAAAAGCTAAGAAGAATTATTGCTTCGTAAACTAAGATGCATTTTCTTTGTAAGCTTATGGGCCCTCAAAATACTTTGCAAAAACGTACCATATATTCTTCTTAACGCCCGAAATAGTTTGTAAGGCTACAAGAGTATGCCATTACAACAACCAACATTTGAAAAAAACTTCAAAATTTCAAAAATACTTACAAGCTTTTCAGTTTAAAAAAAAAACCTTGGCTGACCGTGTTGTTGAACCCAATGTACTTAATACGGCGACGGAAAGTCGTTAAAATCGGTGGTCCCGGATGCAGGCGCTGTCTGGAGCTCAAAACGCGTCCGGGATTTTGGCCGCCTCCACCGGCCCTCCGGCCCACTGTGCAGCCTGCAGGCCGGGGGGCCCGCGATAATAACTTGTGACAGTGGCTCCATAAAAAGCGCCGCCGGCAGTAAAACCGCCATATGTGTGGGAGCGTTTGAGCCGCAGTAAATATCGGGGCCGGAAAAGTTTGGCGAGGACTGTGGAAATTACAGTGACGGAGGCCGTCAAGGCCGAGCTCCCCGTGCGCGTCCCGCGGTCCCCCCCCCACCCGGCGGCCACCTGTCAGTGTGCCGGAGGAGAGGCTTAGAGGCCTGGAGCTCCGGGCCTCCAGCAGCCGGCGCACAGTGGGCCAGAACACCGGCGGAGGCGGCCCAAATTCTAGACGCGTTTTGAGCTCCAGAGTCGCTAACTGGGACTCGAACCGAACGTGTGACCCCACCAATGGGTTGCTCTCTGCGAACGAGGAATCCATTGGTGGGGTCACACGTTCGGTTCGAGTCCCATTTAGCGACTCTGCAGCTCAAAACGCGTTAAGTGTGCTTTAACAACGTAAAGAGGGGATTTTATACGTTGTGCGTCGGCCTGTGTGTGGCTCGCCGAGCGGCGATAACCTTTAAGAGAGGTCTTTTTTCTTTAAAAGAAAAATCAAACTCCACTGCCTATCGGTTCTCTTAACGATAGAGCGCGCTTTCACTCGGTGGGTGGGGGGCGGGTTGGGGAAGGTTACGCGCTGGGTTTTTAAATAGAGCCTACGGTCGTGGTTAGTATTCGCTCTCACACACAAACTCACACGCTCACAGACATTCACACGCACGCTCACAGACGTGCGCACACTGCAGCGTAGCCAACGTAAATCAAAGTGGCCGTATCGCCGCAAGGCGGTGTGGCACGGCAAAAAACGGGAAAGGGGGTGATAACAAGATTCGGGGATTGATTCGGCGTGCGCGAGCGGTGTACCCGCCCCGCCCCGCCCCGCCCCGCCACTCCGCGTGTGCGTGCGTAGTGGGAATTACTGACCCGGCCACGGCAACACTTTGTTCGACGGAGTGGCGTGTGGAAAAGGGTCGATGATTGACTCTTGCAGTGATCCCCACTTTGTAGTTGCTGTTGTTGTTGCTGTTGTTGTTGGGGGAGTGCGTGGACGCTGAGGATGATGGGCTGCGGGGGGAGGTGGGCCTCCCTGAGGGCCTCTTATCATTCGATGTAGCTTCGCTGATTTTCAGACCACTCCAGACCGCTCGACTCATTTGCGAAATGAATATGGTACATTTGACCCCACCAATGGATTCCTCGTTCGGAGGGCAATCCATTGGTGGGGTCACACGTTCGAAGGCTCGCGCTGGCCAGGGCAGTCAGGCAGAAAAATCTATCGGTTTGGGACCAGTAACGTCACAAAGTTGGTCAAAGAGTGACTGAATCTCCGAAAGTAGCCGTTTTCGCTGATTTTGGGCGGCCACTGCGTCCGATCTAGTTGCGGTCAACGGCCTCCCTCGACGCCCTACTGCTCTTAAGACCCTGCTCTTTCATGCCCTGTATCGGGAAGACGGTGACCACAACGATTTTGCCTTTGACCGCAACGATTTTAGGACCAAAGTTGGTCAAAAAGTTGTCGAATCTCGGAAATTTGCTGATTTTGCTGACTTTGGGCGGCCACTGTGTCCAATCTAGTCTCCGTAAAAGGCCTCCCTCGACGCCTTAGTATTCTTAAGACCCTACTCTTTCATGCCCTGTATCGGGAAGATGTTGACCACAACGATTTTGGCTTTGACCGCAACGATTTTGGGACCAAAGTTGGTCAAAAAGTTGTCGAATCTCGGAAATTTGCTGATTTTGCTGACTTTGGGCGGCCACTGTGTCCAATCTAGTCGCCGTAAAAGGCCTCCCTCGACGTCCTAGTATTCTTAAGATCATACTCTTTCATGCCCTGTATCGGGAAGGCTATTGACCGCAACTAGTTTGGGAGCGGTAGCCTCACAAAGTTGGTCATGCAGGGTAAAAACATAATGATGATCGGGAGCCTTTTGCGGTCTTATCCTCTGGGGCCTTTTGGGGGCCTGTGTCCGAGCCTGCACGTTCGGTTCGAGTCTCATTTAGCGACTGTGGAGCTCAAAACGCGTCCGGGGTTTTGACCGCATCCACTGGTCTTCTGGCCCACTGTGCGACGGCCTCTTTAAATCCAGCGGCGACCTCCTCAGCAGGACTCTGCGCGCTGCGCTCTGCCCGCACCTTGGCATGAATAACTCACGTGGCTCGGTGCGGCCGGGGCTGCCCTGGGCCGCGCTGGGCTAGCCGCACCAGAGCGGGAAACGATAAAATATTTGAAAAGTTTCAATGAGGATAAAGGCAACTTTTGGTGGCGCAGTGCCGCACAGCCGCGCGCGTCGGCGGGAGATCGATTAAAACCAAATTTGAAGATAATGTGACTGGGAGCTTCCCTCCTTCCTGCTTTGCCGGCTGGCTGGCTGGCTGGCTGGCCTGGATGGCGGAGGCGGCATTCGCAGCCAAGAAACGCGGCCAAAACTCAATTCCAGAGTCCCAGCCCGGGCCGCCCGGCCGCCCGGCCCACCGCGCACCGCGGAACGGAACATGGGCGTCAGCGTCAGCCCTTGGGCCCGAAGACCGAGCCCAGCCCGGCCCAGCCCTCGGCCTGAAGGGGCAACGCTCCAAAAGTATTAGTCGCTGCGAATTAAAGTTATCGAGAACAAATACAGCGAACCTGCTTCCGAGGCCGCGCAGCACTTCCTGGCGACATTTGCCCCCCCCCCCCCCCCCCGGTCCCTCGACCGGGCCCTATCGCGGAGGGTGTCAGCAACTCTTGCGACTAATTAACTTAATAATCAGTTTTATTCCCAAACTTTTTCGCCGGAGCATTAGCAGAACTCATTACGACATTATTTTTTTTTTATCACGCGCGAGAAAGATCGCGCTTGTCTTGATGAAAATTCAAAGTTTGTTTCTTGAAGTTGCGGCCGCTGGTCGCTTGTTGGTGTTGGTCGGTCTCTGGCCTCCCAGTTCGGTGACCCGGCGACTGGCGGACGGTCCGGCGCTCCTGTGGCTGCGCTCGGGGCGTTTCCACGAATCGCCAGATTATCGGTTTCGATCAGGCGGACACAACATTTGGTCACGTTTTCAGGTCCGAATTCCCCGAGTGGAATTCGGGCAAGTCACACGAGGGTACCGACGGATTGCTGTTCCAACGTCCCACCATGTCTTCGATTCGAGTCCTCTTGAAACGCCTCGTGGTGCAATGCGTGCCATCAAACGTAGGTGCCTGCTTACAAACGGGTAGAGTTGGTAACGGTGGTAACGCACAAGACAGCTTAAAATTAAAATCCAATTTCGGCATGGTTGAGAAAAAGGACACAGAAAAAACAGAAAAACAAAAAGTTCAAGGAGACGCCCTACACAGGCCTCCTAAACGGGCGTTGCGAGACGCTTGAGTCGACACCTGAGGTGTATTACCGAGGGATAAGGACTTTGCCGTCGGAGCGAAATTAAAAGACCAAGTGGAGTGGCCGCGCCGCCCCGTCTCAGGATGTCAATTATTCTACAGCTTCCTGATTAATTTTCTTTCAGCGAAGGCACTTGAGTCGCAAAGTAGCGAAACGACGCCTCGGACA